GTTACTGACGATTTTCCTTTTCATCCTACAAAATACGCTTCCTCTCTCCTTGCTTAGCTGCTGTTAGTTGGGGTTTCTACTACTTGCTGCCAAACACACTCAAGCGCCTGGGTTGTCCATGTCAGTAAGGGATGGAGCTGAATCGTCCTTCCTGTGGGGAAGGGTAGGGTCCTTCCTAGGAGGGAGGAGGGATGTCCGAGGAGCCCTGGCCAAACCATCTGAAAGCCAAGCCTTGTGCTCGCTTGTCTTCCACTAGCTTGGTGCTGGTTACTGCTGCCATCTAGTGGCAACATTTTAGAACTAAAACCCTCTTCGGGGCCATGAATTTTTTTTTCCTTGAATTCTTTCATTCCACCATTCATTCATTTGTTCATTCATGCACTCCTTCTACAAATATCTTATGAAGACCTACTATGTGTGGCAGATCCTCATGAATAACGAGAGGGAAATCCAGCTCCTTGCCTCTTGCAATTTACACGCTTAGGGGAAGACGGCCAGGAGTTGAATAAAAACAAATAGGACGGTAAAGAACATGGTACTGCGAGGATCACTGATAGAAATTTGACTTGTTGGGGACAGGGGAAAGTTAGAGAAAGTTTTCCTGAGGAGGTTATGAGTGGCTCCAGGTCTGAAGGATAAGCTATAACAGCCAGACCACAAGGGCAGTTTTCTGGGCAGTGAAAGCAGTCACAAAGTGAGCTGCAATGTAGGAATAAATTGTGGTTAAATTGGTACTGTATTCAAAGCCATTCTAGTTTCTAAATCGATGCCATGATCGCGAGTTTTAGCGATGTGATTGTTTTACCTAAGCATGAGCTGAAGGTATATTAGCTCATAAACATCTATAGAACTTGGGCAGCACCTGTAGCTTAGTGGGTAGGGTGCCTGCCACGTACACTGAGGCTGGCAGGTTCGAACCTGGCCTGGGCCAGCTAAAACAACAATGACAACTGCAACAACAAAAAAATAGCAGGGCGTTGTGGCGGGAGCCTGTAGTCCCAGCTACTTGGGGAGCTGAGGCAAGAGAATCACTTAAGCCCAAGAGTTTGAGGTTACTATGAGCTGTGATGCCATGACACTCTACCCGGGGCCACAGCTTGAGACTCTGTCTTAAAAAGAAAAAAAAAAAATCTACAGAACACTCAACCCAAGATGAGCAGATACACATTCTTCTAAAGTTTACATGAAATATTCTCCAGGGTAGACTGTGTGCTGGGCCAGAAGATAAGCCTTACAAATTAAAAAGGACTGAAGTCATTGAAAATATGATCACAGTGGAATAAAATTAAGAAGCAGTAACAGAAGTAAATTTGGAAATTTCCAGGTATGTGAAAATTGAATAATGCATTCCTAAACAAACAAGGAGTCAAAGAAGAAAAGATATGGACATCCTGAGTCTTCATGCATGAGCAGGGGAAAGATTGAGCCCTGTGAGCAATGGGACAAAATAAAGACGCTTCTGGTTATACAGCACATGAGTTTGGGGCATTGAATTCACCATTTACATTTAAAATATTACAAATCAACATGTAAAAAGACAAGCATACACATATAAAAATAATTCACATTGGAATTTTGTTCCAGAACATAAAAAAGATTCAGTAAGACCATCCAGCATTAAAAAAGGTATGAAATTTTCACATATTTTATCAAACCCTGCTATTCTGCTCAGATTTTCTAAATTTAAATATTATGAAGCCACAAGGTCTAAATATTATAATATGAATTATTTAAAGCCAACATACAAGAATGGAATATTCAATTTTGCCATTAGAAAATATGTTTTACAATGTGACAATGTAACACTTTATATAAAAATTATTTCTGGCCAGGCATGGTGGCTCACACCTGTAATCCTAGCACTCTGGGAGGCTGAAGTGGGTGGACTGCCTGAGCTCATGGGTTTGAGACTAGCCTTAGCCAGAGCAAAACCGCATCTCTAAAAAATAGCTAGGCATTGTGGCAGGTGCCAGTAGTCCCAGCTACTCAGGAGGCTGAGGCCAGAGAATTGCTTGAGCCCAAAAGTATGAGGTTGCTGTGAGGTGTGATGCCATTACACTCTACTCAGGGTGACAAAGTGAGACTTTGTCTCAAAAAAAGTTATTTCTAAATGTCAACTTTAAACAAAAATTGAGGGAATATGGTTAAATGTAGAGTTTACATGACCAGAAAATTGGAGAACGGCCACCTGGGAACACAGATTCTAAAAAAAATTGAAGTTATTCCTCCAAAGTGGAGATGTTTGGGGAGGCTTATAGAAATAAAGTTTGGAACTTCCACACAAGACTTGCACATAAGGTAGTGTTCTTTTCAGGGAAGGTATATTTAACATTCCACATTGAGGATGTTAACAGTTACAGAGTCTTTTGTGCCATCTGTTCTGAGTTAGGTGTGAGATGAAAAAAGAGAAAGACAAAAATCAGAAGGGGAGGAGGCCTTACCTCTAGCACCATTTAATCTTTCTTAATCAATTTACAGAAAGAGAGTTACTCTTTACTCTGAGATGCAGAAGCTGCAGCTACATGCTGCACGGCTCAGACCACATCATCCACATTTCCTTCAAGGCTCAATGCAACTTCTGGGTTCCAAAAATTAAATTACTTTTGAATTATTTATTTTTACACTACCTTGGTTTTAACTTCAAATATATTGACTTAAAATAAAGGTACCCAAATAATAATGTGTTACTAGTGAAATAAAGATGGAAAGCTCACTCAGGACACTGTGAGGAAATTTGGAGACCAGGTATAAGGCAGTGTCACTGGCACAGAAGAGGCGTTCTGTGGAATTAGGTAGCAAGTAAACCGCATTAAAAGTGGAGATGGATTGGTTGAGAGTGCTGAGGACAAGAAAGAGGCAAAAGTGGAAGCCAAGTCCCAGGATTCTGTCATGAGCAACTAGAAGACTGGCAGGGGCATTTCACAAGCTAAAGAGGAGTGGGGAGGACATCAAGTTGAGCTTAATTTTGGAAATGCTGAGTTTGAGATATGTGAGAAACACCAAAGGGGCAGGATATGGTAGACAGATAGGAAGAATTGTACACATGTAGGAAGCAATATTTCAGCAAGGTGATGAACAACAGAGTGTGTTCCCCAAAATCCAAGAGAGGGATGACTTGATCTCTTCTTCACACTCACAAAACACTTTCAGTTACAACTACCATAGCACTTAACCCATTACATTAATGTTATTTGTGAGTGTATCAACAGCTCACATCTGAGTTCTGTGAAGGCAAGAATTGAATTTTACTCAATTCTCTTTGGTTTAATGGGCTTAAACCATTGTTAGGGTGGGGAAGAAGGGGAGGATTGGCAAATGGTGTTCAAAAAATGCAGAAGGATGATGGGCATGGTAACATCTGCCTTGTAGCCCCACATACACAGGACCCTGAGATATAGGGATTGCTTGAGCCCAGGAGTTTGATATCAGCCTGAGCAACATAGTGAGATTCCACTGCTACAAAAATACTACAAATCATCTGAGCATGGTGGTGCACACCTGTAGTCCCAGCTACTTGAGAGGCTAAGGCAGGAGGATTTCTTGAGCCCAGTAGTTGAAGGGTGCAGTAAGTGATGACCAAGACAGTGAAGTCCAGCCTACGTGACAGGAAAAGACCACGTCTCTAAAATAGTGGCGGGGGGGGGGGGTTTTTAAAGTTGACCGAATGTTTATATACTGATAGGAATGATCCATAGACACGGTGGAGTGGGGGCTGGGTAGAGGAAGAAGGAAATTGAATATGCAGGATATAGAGAGGATTACAGAAAAACTGAATTATTGAGAGAATTCTGGGGAACACTACAGAACATTCCTCAGAGTTAGTCCAACAAAGGTGTTTAGAAGCTGGGATGTTTATTTACCAACTCTGTAAGTTATTGGTTGAGGAATACTCTTGGGAGATGTGAGCATGTGTATTAATTTTCCAGCATTTCTGGTCTGCCCTGGACATGGGTGAAGCCAATTCTGGTGACCAGGAAAAGCCATCAGGCAAAGATTTCTACTTGCCATTAGAACCCATTGAGTGTCCCACGGGAATATGAGTGACTTACAGCGTCTTTGACACTGGTCCTGATGATGTTTTTCTTCGTGGAATGTGAGTCTTAAATGTAGAGATGAGACTGAAAAACAATAATTCTGACTGATACTGAAATAGGTATCAAGAAAGAAGAGTTTTAGTCAGAACATTATATTTCCCATCCAAGGAACTTGAAAAACAATCATTAGGAACTTCAATTAATGTTAACCTATCTGGATTTTAATATCCTAACCTGTAGAATGGTGGGAGGTGAGTAGAAGGGATAGGGCTTGTGAAAGTTCTTATTTTCAATGATTTGAATTTATCTGTATGAATTCCTCTTTGTCTTCCTTAGACAGCAAAGTATTTCAACAAGTATTTAGTATCTGCCACCTAACCAACTCAACTTTGTTATTATTTTATAATATATCTTTTGTGAGAATCTAATTCTCAGTTATTGTCTAAAAATACTTTATAGATAGTGTCTCTAATCACAATAGCAGTCCTCTGGTAATTTTCTTCTTAAAAGTGAAAATTCCAGTTTTGAGAGGGGATATGATTTACTCAGATCCTTCTTATTTTCAAAATGGCGATGACTATCTTTGCAAGAAAGAAGTCCACTTTCTGCAAATAAGGTGGCTGCTGATATGGACCTGAGAGCAGCATTAGGATGGAAAGTATTTTTCCAAATTCAGACCATCGTTTCATGATTTCTTTCTTTGGATTCATGTGCAGCTTTGAAGAAATTCAATGGGTTCTGGAGGATACCAACAAAAACCGAAGTCTCTTAGCCCACAGAATTCCTTGTAATGCGTGGCTAAAATCCTCCTAGATTGAAGAAAGCAATGGTCGGCCACAACAAAGATGGCTGCAGCGGCTTCACCACGGCAACCGCTACGCCACTCACCACTAAGGGCATCAATACATTTAGTTCCGGCCTGTTAGTTGGGCGTCACTTCCGGTACCGTCACAGTGGCTTGCCGGGTTGAGTGTAGAGAGGAAAATGAACTGACTTCAAGAAGTACTGTCACCGAGGGAATCTGAGGGAATGTGGACGCTCACAACATGAAGAGAGAAGGTGGGAAGTCAGCGACTGTTGTCGCAGTTGTGACTGAACCTCGGTTCGCTCAGCGATATAGGGAATATCTGGAGAAGCAGAAACTCCTGAATAGACAGCACCGTGTGGAAAAGATGCCGGATGGCACCGTGGCGCTACCGGTGCTGGGAGAGACCCTCCCGGAGCGGCACCTGCGCGAGCTGAGCAGTCGCGTGGCCCCAGGCAGCACCTGTGTGCTGACGCAGCTCCGGGATCCTGCCCCTTCAAAGAAGGCCCAGGGTTGCTCACCTGCCCAAAGATTGTGTGTTGAGGTGAGTCGCTGGGTAGAGGGCCAGGGAATCAAGTGGTCCTCTGAGTTGGAGGCTGACTTACCCCGATCTTGGCAACGGCACGGAGACCTCTTGTTGCTTAGTGAAGACTGTTTTCAAAACAAGCAATGGAAAAGTCTGGAACCAGGACTCTGGGAGATCGTTGCCTCGGCACTTTGTGTCCAGCGTTTGGCAAAACGAGGGCGGGTATCACCGGATGGCACTCGAACTCCAACAGTGACTCTTCTGCTAGGTGATCACGGCTGGGGAGAGCATGTGGATAATGGTATCCGATATAAGTTTGACGTGACCCAGTGTATGTTCTCCTTCGGAAACATTACAGAGAAGCTGCGAGTGGCGTCGCTATCCTGTGCTGGAGAAGTGGTAGTGGATCTCTATGCTGGGATTGGTTATTTCACATTGCCCTTCCTAGTTCATGCTGGTGCTGCCTTCCTTCATGCCTGTGAGTGGAACCCCCATGCTGTAGCTGCTCTGAGAAATAACTTGGAGATCAATGGAGTAGCAGATAGGTGCCAGATACACTTTGGGGATAACAGGAAGCTGAAGCTCTCAAACATTGCAGATAGGGTGAACCTGGGGCTTATTCCCAGCTCTGAAGAAGGCTGGCCCATTGCCTGCCAAGTGCTAAGAGGAGATGCTGGTGGTATTCTGCATATTCATCAAAATGTGGAATCTTTCCCAGGGAAGAATCTCCAGCCTCCTAAAAGCAACAAAATGGAGAGAGAGCATTGGCCTTATCCTCAGAAAATTATCACCAACTTGTGGGAAAATGGAGCTACCAGGGATTCCAAGAGAAAAATGCTGTCACCAGCCACCAAGCCAGAGTGGCAAAGTTGGGCAGAATCCGCAGAAATTCGAATTGCCTCTCTTCTTCAGCAGGTACATGGGAAACCATGGAGGACACGAATCCTGCACATCCAACCAGTGAAATCGTATGCTCCCTACGTGGATCACCTAGTCTTGGATCTGGAATGTCGCCCTTGTACTTTAGTAGGCTGAGGAGGTGAATCTGGGGATAGAAGGGATCAATGTATGAGTGGCCCTTCATGCATCAGCTGAGGCTGAGTTCTAATTCCTTTTGTCTCCTGGTGATCTGTTTTAATATTCTGTGGCACTGAAAGCAACCTCTAGACCAGTCCTATTCATTTGTCTTCCAGAGATCACACTGAGAATGAACTAACATACCTGGGAGAAGCAGCATGGCTCACTGAAAAGAAGTTCATCTGTGCAATTAGAAATTCCTAATTCTGACCTCAGTTCTAAGTTTCAGTATTCTTTGGCCTTGGATTTCCTTATATGCAAAAGGAGATTTCCTTGAACTGTCTCATATGGCTATTGTGAGACAGTTGTACACAGGACATTGGTTAGTGTGAAGGACACAGTTACTGCTATAATATGGAAATCAACTGGGCCATGGTGGAAACAGGGAGACTGGTGAGGAGGGTTCTGTGGTTGTCCAGGTGTGAGGTGATGGTGACTTGGATTAGGGTGGTGGCTGTGGGAGGTGGAGGGTTTGAAAAATAAAATCAACAGGACCAAACAGTGGAAACCAAATCAAGTCATTAATATAATGCTGCTTTGTATTATGATGGACTAAATTAGGGAGGGATGGAAACAAAAATTAGTATGTTCCATTCTTCTACATTAGCATTCCTAAGTGAGTATGGAGGAATCTATTCTGTATTAGGTTTATTATGGTAGAAAAAGGGTTAAGAACACTGGTCTAAATCATAGGGAATCTAGATTTCTAGGCTTAAGCTTGTGCAATGGCTGCCAATTACTAGCTATCTTTTTTTAAAGTTCTGATTAAAATCTTAGGTTTTTATAGGCCTCAAATTCCCTCTTCATCTTCCTTCCCTAGCTGATAACATCAGGGATAACAAAAGAAGCTATAGGTAATATGAAATATTCTGCAGAATTTTTCAAGCCTCACCTTATTTTGTGGCTGGCTGTTATCACCATGGTTTGCCATTAGAATGTCTAATTGTTGAAAATCACTCAGAGTTTTGATTTGGTGCATTTTGAAACCATCTGAGCTTATTTGCTTAATGAAGGAAATACACAAAAGTGTGCTTTTATCAGGATTGTGAGGGTACTTGACATTTGGCTGGCTGGAGTTGGTCAGGGTTGTTTGTCCTTCTCTTCCAAAAGAGGCAATAAGTAAAGAGCTGGTGCTGTTTGAGATATGCAGCAAATATTAAAAGCCTACTACATATAAAAGCAGGAAATATAAAGACTTATTTGATGAAGTTTCTGTTTTCTGAGGAACTAACTAGCAGCAGTACTCAAAAGCTTGCAATACAAATTAGTGCCATAGGAGTGACAACAGTTGTAGGAGCGCCAGGCTGGGAAAGAAGAATTCTCAGAATTGAATGAGGAAGTTTTCAGAGAGGTAGTGTTTGAGCTGGATCTTGAAAACTGGGAAAGACTTCGATGGGTAGGGTGGGGGCAGTTTAAAAAAATAACATGCAAAAGTTTGAATACTTAGAAAATGGACCCTTGTCATTATTTGATCAGTTTGGAACAGAGGAAGCAGTGAGGAATGTATTGAAGAAGGGCATTCATAAAGATTAGAAAGCATGGTGTCTCGTATGTATACAGTAAGCCCCCAGGGAAGTGTCAGCTACCATGTGGTCCCACCACAGAAAGCAGCAAGCTTGTTTCCATTCTTATCTCACAGAGTGGCCTTCCTATATTTACATTAGTCATTGCTTCTTTACATAGTGCGTTTCTTCTCACTTGTGTGCCCATGGATGCTCTCCTCAAACTGAAATCCTCAAGATGCCAATCTGGGGCTTGACCCAATATAGGGAGGAATGCAGAGAAGAAACACTGGGGAAGATGAGTCACAGCCATGTCTAGGGACTGAGGAGTTGCCTTTTTGCCATTAGCTGTGGACAGATAGCTGACTTCAGGGATAGTTGGTCGAATTCATTTAACCAATGGTTGTTGAACTCCTGTTCTATAGATCTATAGTCTATATAGCAGACCCCGAGTGTGCAGTGGTAAAAGACTGACATGGACTCTGCTTTCATAAATTTAAGTTTCATTCATTCAGTTCCTGGCTGCTTTACTTTCTGTGTGATTCCAGTGAAATGAATCTGAAGTTTTAGTTTCTTCATTTGTATGTTGGAGATAACAATTGTACATGTCCTGTAGGGTAGTTGTTAGATTCAGATGAATTAACAAAGCCTCAAGTCCCAGGAAAGTCTTTGACCCTGGAGATGCAGCAGCCGGGCATGCTATCACTGGCAGAGCAGAACTGTAGGACTCTGATTTCTTTTCTTTTTTGAGACAGAATCTCAAGCTGTCGCCCTGGGTAGAGGGCCATGGCATCATAGCTCACAGCAACCTCAAACTCTTGGGCTCAAGCGATCCTCTTGCCTCAGATTTTCTATTTTTAGTAGAGATGGGGGTCTCTCTTTTGCTTTGCTCAGGCTGGTCTCGAACTCGTGATCTCAAGCAATCCACCCGCCTCAGCTTCCCAGAGTGCTGGGATTACAGGTGTGAGCCACTGGGCCTGGCCTAGGACTTCAATTTCTTTTTCTTTTTTTTTTTTATTAAATCATATTTGTGCACATTAATACTATCATGGGATACAGTGTGTTGCTTCCACATACAATTTGAAATACTTTCATCCAATTGGCTAGCATAGCCATCATGTCATTCTCATAATTGTTGTTAAGACATTTATATTCGACAATTTAGAAAGATTCACATGTACCCTTATAGGATAAATCATAGGCGTGATCCCCACATTCACCCTCCCTTTACCAATCCTCCCAGACTTTGATTTCTTTTTTTTTTTTTT